CTCTTTCCATGTTGTGGGAGTTTGTTTAACCCACTGCCTGTCAATTTGGAATAAACAGTAGTAGAGTTTGTTTTAAGGTGAGTCTTGTTGCTAATACCGCTGGATTAAATCATAGTCTCTTTATGGGCCCCTAAAAGACCAAGGTATAGGGAAGCTGGCCTCTCAGGACCAGTCCTTTCGCTAAACAGATGATTCAGGAGGCCCAAACTGATGGGACCAGTTGGGTTGGAATGCAACCCTGTGGCCTTCGGAGAACACACGTAGCCTGTGGCTTTCCCCACCTTTCGTATGCTCCAGCCCGATTCTGAAGGAACTCTGTAAACACGCCCATCTCATGCCATTGCCATTTTTTATCCTAATTTGACATTTTCCCTTACGTCGTCACTGATCATTTGTGTTATATGCTTTACTTACCATTTTAACTTACTCTCCACAAGCAAAATATAAATAACATTCAGAAGTTGCCCCTGGTCTATTGCATTAACTGGAGTCTGTCTGAGAAGTGTTTGAGGTAAATGACCCCCTAGAGGAACTATCAGTCCGAGTAACTCTGTCTTTCTTTTTCTGGCTTTGAAGGAACTACCTTGTTCCGCACTAGCTCCATCCCTAGAACCCTGCTTCTCCAGGCCCGAGAGACCAGCAAACCGTCGCCCTCCATCCCGTTGGGCCCCACATTCCCCCACTGCCTCACCGGCTCAGTCACTCGGAGACCCGACCTCTTTGGAGGCCATCGGCGATGAGGAGCCACCCGAGGAGAAGCTACTACACCTGTGACATGATGCAAAGTTTGCATGGATTATCACAGAATAATTCACTGTAATTTGCATAACCGCGCCATCATCATCAACCAAACTCCGCCCAACAGGATCTAGTTTTCTCAAGGTCAAAGAATGTTTTCTAAAAAACACAGCTGCGAATGTTCAACCTGTGAACCTGAGATGTTTCTAGAATGAAACAGTAAATGTGCCTGTAATAACTTAATTTTTTTCATAGCTCAGAAAACTATTTTTGTCTCCATCTTTTTTACACACAATATATTAAACACAAAAGGTAAATAAGATATAAATACATTTAAAAAAATAAAAGTTTTAAAGATGTACATTTTAAGAGATTCTGAACACCCCTACTCTCAATACTGACTGCCTCTCTGTTAAATTTGCACTGTTACATTTTGGTTTGGTTTATTTCCATGTCGAATTAGAGTGTTTTAAGTTAATTTTATTTTGTCAGTGTTTTTGGTTTTTAAGAATTTTTGACATGCTTCAGACTGTCTGACTCAGTCAGTGAACTTTTTGTAGTGAAAAAGCCACGAAGCCAGTAGACAAGACAGATGTCCTATATACAGGAGAGGATACATGTCAGCATTTCGGAAAAGGTACAGAGTCCTCAGCTGGGCTTACCAAATTCTCTGTATAATCCACATATTCTACTCGACTTGCACGTCTTCAGGTTCAAAGCACTGGGGTGCATGTACATACGGCTACCGTGGTCTTCCCGTCGCCTGAGTGTGAGTCTGTCTCACTGTGACACGTGAAATCCCTCGTACTGTACTTTTGTTGTCCTCTTGCATTGATGATAAAACAGCAATGGCATTTTGAAATTATTGTTAAACGATTAACTGGCAATATGCAGTGTTTACTCGAAATTTTCTGTTTAAGGAAAAATACTACAAAAAGTCGTGAGGATACCAAATTGAAGCAAAGGATGGTGCCTCTGAGTCTGTATGAGACTATGATGAAGTAGAAATAAAGCCTTTACAAGATGGCAACTTGTTCCCAGATCTCATGTTTCACACTCCCTCCATCTTTTCCTAAGGGCTCACGTGGAAAGTTGCCATAGCCAGGGGCACCCAGGAAAGGGGAGAGCTTGTAAGAAGGCAACAGCTGCTCACATATCTAACAATGCACTGTGAATGCATGATTATTTTTCAGTTTCATCATATTCTGTTAGAGCGTCCTGGGATAGATAAAAAGGCGACTTCATTCTTGTTGAAAAAGCCAAAACTGATGGGTGTGGGGGTGTGAGGAAACTGGCTATCCACAAATCAAAATGTGCCTGGCCTCTCTCCCTCTCCCCTCCTTGGGAAAGCAGGAGTGGCCAGTAACTCCAGAATAGATGTTTCCATCCCTGATACTGAGTATTCAATAGAGTAGGAATCTATAAAGATGTGATGCTGCCGATAGCACATGAAGAACTATTTCAGGCTGAAGCTTCTGGCTTTAATGTTTCATTAACTCAACCATTTTCTTATCTAGACGGGCTAATGGAATAAGTTCTGTTCCCAGCAATACCACAGTTCCATCTTTAAACTAAATATTATCCCCAAAATGGATAGTAACTATTAGTGAGGATGTACAGACATTGGAAACCCAGTGCAGTGTTGGTGGAAATGTAGATTAGTGCCACTGCTAAGAAAACCAATATGATGAGTCCTTAAAAAGTTAAAACAGAATTATTGCATGATCCAGCAATTCCACTTCTGGATTATAGGCCCAGAGGAATTCGAAGCTGGGACTTGAACAGATACTTGTACACCCATGTTCATTGCACCAATAGAGTGGAATCAACCCCAGTGTCCATCAGAGGATGAAAAAATGTATATACATGTATAAACAAAAGTATATTCAAAATATATTTACACACAATGGAATATTATTCAGCCTTAGAAAGGAAAGAGATTCTGACACATGCTACAACATGGGTGAAACTTGAGAACATTATGCTAAGTGAAATAAGCCTGTCAAAAACCAACAAATACTGTATGATTACATTTATATGAGGTATCTAGAGTAGTCAAATTCATAGATACGAAAAGTAAAATAATAGTTACCAGGAAGTGGGACAAAGGAAGAATGGGGAGTTAGCGTTTAATGGGTACAGAGTTTCTGTTTGGGATGATGAAAAAGTTCTGGAAATGAATAGCGATGATGGCCGCACAACAGTGTAAATATACTTTATGTCACTAAACTCTACACTTAAAAATGATTAAAATGATGAACATTATGTATATTTTACCACAATAACCTTTTAATGAAAAAATATATATATTCCACTTAACCATCCTAGACATAGCTGCAAAAGAACTACCAACAAGTACACAAATATTTATTGCATGCCTACTCTGTACCTGTGGTAAATGCTGGGAGGTGCATTAACATCTTTTCAGTTGGAAACAACCAGCCAGCAGCAAGAAGGAAAGTTGTTGGCATTCAAAACTAAAACAGCATTAGCACTGAGTGCAGTTACAATCCAGAGCCTCAAACAATGCCATAAGGACAATGCTCTATTTCCTGGCTCTGGTCTCCCCTGTATGGCTTTATTCTCAGACTAGCAACCCAAGAGTTGGCAACAATTGTTCCCAGCGGCTCTTGTTAGTTTAGCAACAACTAGAGAAAGAGGACCTCTTGCCAGTAGTTCCCACAGAAGTCCCAGGACTGATGAATCTCATGGGTCTGCTTTAATTCACATGTCTCGCCCTAAGCCTGTCACTGACAGATTGGCCCAGCAAAGGAAAACCAGGGAACTGTCAGAATAGATGGGAAAGGGTGTGTGGGAGGCAGTGAAGGCTGCTTACAACTGTGGGGCACCCAGAATTACAAGGAAGGTTCTGGTCATCAGATAGAACTTGCCGTCTGCTTGGAAGAGATGGAATTCCCAGGCACAAAAACAAAATGCAAAAATGGTATGTGTAAATCCTAAGATAAAGATCTAGAGCTGGACCTCCAAGGAAGAGCAGGATTTAAATGCGAAGGCAGGGAGAGGTGTTTGGGTGGGAGAACAGTAGGAGTAGAGGTGTGGGGAGGTGGTAATAAGTACATCTGACCAGGGCAGTAAGGTGGTACCTGGGCTGGGAGCAGGACCTGCAATGAGCAAAGCCACATTATGCAGCATTAGTGCTTTGAAAACCGGTTTAGAACTTCTCTAACCATCCAGTTTCAGACAGTTGGGCATGTGTATTCCTGAATCCATTCTTGTGGAACCTCTCCGACTTTTACAAAGGTAGGACGGTAGAACGAAATCAGTTTCTACACTCCTGTTTGAATGAATGCTGAGGCAGCTAAGTGGGTAATGCAGGGCTCCGAAAAGAGAGCAGCTGCACAGGGAATGGCCTACAGGAAGTGTTTGTTTAAGCCGGCATTAATGTGCCATTTGCTTCTTTGTCCTAAAGAAAGAGGCAGGAGCAGATTCCTCAAACACAGCTAACAGCACTTGCACGCCAGGCATGCCTTGTCCAGCGGGTCAAGGCCAACACCAGCAGCCCAGAGACAGAGCTCATCATGCAGTCAGTCTGGACAGTGGCAACCACATTCCACCCTTTCTTTTTTCTCCTTCTGAGGAGGTTACATGTTACATCGAGGTTTTCAATATTAAGTGTCTTTTAAAAAATATGTATCATAATTCAAATTTTATTTAGTTCATTTATGTTTCAACCTCTTTTTTATTAAGCTTGCTAGTTATGTGTCTTTATTTTCTTCAAAAAGTAGCTGAGAAGAGCAATTATCTTTATATTTTTAATTCATTGATTTTTAAAAATTGTGGTAAAATACATATAAAATTTACCATATAGACTATTTTAAAGCATACAGTTCAGTGGCATTTAGTACCTTCATGATGTCATGCAATCATCACTACTGTTTAATCCCAGAACATTTTCATCACCCTAAAAGGACATACACACTAAGGAGTCACTCCCCTTTCCCTGGCAGTCACAAATCTGTTTTCTGTCTCTATGGATTTGCCTGTTCAAGATATTTCATATAAATGGAATTACACAATATGTGGCCTTCCGGGCTTCTTTCACTGGGCATAATGTTTTTGTGGTTCATCTATATTGTAGCCTGTATCAGTACTTTATTCTTTTTATAGCTGAAAAATATTCAACTGAATAGATGTACTACATTATGTTTATTCATTTGTCAATTGATGGTAATGAGTTTCGGTTACCTGAAGCATCCTTGAGCATTACCCTAAATGAGGCAATTCACAATGAATAATCAGAATACTCCTCAATCAAATTACATAATTGAGGCACTTTGGCATCTTTAACTGTTAAATATAGTTGTTTCACGAAGCCACTGATACATATTATACTTGTCATGCTTTTCTTTGATTTGCATCTAGTCCTTTCAGCATCATTCTTTGAATACTATGTGCATTGGAAACCAGTACAGCAAAGAATCCAGCTGAGTCATAAGTAAGTTGGCTGTTTGAATGAATTTGATGACACTGGGTCTTTAATACACTCTGGGTCACAAGCATCAGTGTGGCACTGAGAGTGGAAAAATCTGAATTTGAATCCTGACAACCTTAGGCCACCTCTTTAAGACTCATTTGAAAAATAGCAACAATAGGGGTTGGGTGAAAAGAGTGAAGGGATTAAGAAGTACAAACTGGTAGTTACAGAATAGTCACAGGGATGTGAAGTACAGCATAAGGAATATAGTTAATACTAGTGTGATACCCATGTATAGTGTTAGGTGGGTATTAGACTAATCAGAGAGATCACTTTGTAAATTATATAAATATCTAAGCATTATGCTGTACACACCTAAAACTAATATAAAATAATACTGAATGTCAATTCTAATTGAAAAAAAAAAGGAGAAAAATAGAGACAAATAAAAAGAAAAATAGCAAAAATAATACCTACTTCCCAGGCTCATAATGATTAAGGTTCGCCATTCACCTGCAGTGTACAAGATACTATGCTAAGACTTGCAAACACCAGAGGTGAACAGAAAAGATAAGCTCCCTGCTTTCTGAGAGCTTATATTCTAGTGTTAAAAAAAAACAAAAATTCAACTGAGTAAGTTTGAAGATTTAATTGGCTTTATGGAATCACGAAGATTTAATTGGCAGCATCCCGTCTAGCAAATGGAGCTCCACAGGGCTGTACAAAATGGAAGGTGTTTAAAGACAGAAAAGGGGCAGAAAAGATAAATTATTAGCAGAGAATGCATTGTTTCAGGCAAGGTCGCTGTCCTAAGGGGAATGGAATGGGCCACTCAGGCAGATTACTTCATGAGTGCTGACCAGGTAATTCCAGGCTGACCTGTTAAAGGTTACATTTCTGGGAGAAGCTGAGACTTCAGTGAGGCTAGGTACTGAAGTCTTGGTTTGCTAACTTAAGTCTTGGTTTGCTAACATTGGGCTTAGCACAAGTGACTCCATTTGGGGCCGGTTGTTTTTTTTTAACACTAGTGATAAGAAACACATAGTCAACAGGAGTCAATGTGTTGGAGAGTAACTAAAAGGCTTCCCCGAGGAGATACCATTTGAGCTGAAGCCTGGACAAGAACTAGCTGTCAGCCAGGAAGATGGAATATCTGATGCAAAGTTGGGATGAGGAGGTGGGCATGAGACTGATGTTTTTCAGGAGGTGAAAGAAGGCCACTGTGTCCTGAACAAGGGGGAGAGGGGTAGGGGGAGAGAGCAGGGAGCTTGGGAGAGGCCTATGGTCCACCAGAAAGAGTTTGAATTTTATGCTAGGCAGGAAAAAAAAAATTCATTGAAAGATATTAGGCAAGGGAGTTACTTTTTAAATGACTGCTATGATGTAACAATAAGAAGGGGCAAGATTGGTAAGCTTCCTTATAAAAGGCCGTTGTGCTGACCCAGAGACACCTTGATGGTGGCTTGGGCAATTTTTGTGCTGTTATTATTAGCATCCCCACCCCCAAGCTTACCACGTGCTGCTCATCAAAAACTGGGCTTTAGAATCTGATGCTGAGGCTTCCGCAGGCCCCACTGCTGAACTCTGGAATCTGC